GATAGATAGCAGTGCTGGCTTTTCAGTAATGAGAAATTATAAAATATGCTATAGTATATCTCAGGAAAAAAAGTACTTTCTTTAGCAGAGAGCTTCTTAAAACCATGCTGGTGGATATAGAAATTACCTCTTAATACCAGGTAGACTCTTAAGTGGCATCCTAAACAGCGACAAACTTAGCCATCTTAAATTCAGGTCTCTGGACAGCAACTTGTATTAATGAGGGATGACCGGATATGCACTCCTTTACCCTAGTTTCTACCTTAAGAAATACACTATCAGATTTACTCTGTGGAATCTAATAGTATCACAATACAAAATAACACAAGTGAAAATACAACCCAACATGACTTCCACTACTATGACATGACCACTTGTAAATACATACAGCTCCTAAGTGTAGGCCAGTAAAAGTGAACATATTGAAGCAAATAATGTATCACAGACCGTACTCCTCCTCTCCCCATCCAAGACTTCCTTAAAAGTGAAATCTAGAGTAGAAAACAAGGGGCAGGAGGGGGTACTTCTTTAGTATAAGATGTTACACTGCAGTTCCTCTAGTGAACAGTCAGTTGCCTACGAAAAAGCATAAATCACATTATTTTTCATAACACAGTGTTATGAAACATAAAACTTCAAACAACATCCCTTCCTAGTACCATTTGTCTATTAAGTCGCTGTTGCCACCATGCACCATAATCCATTTCCTTGCGACACCTTAAACTCAGTGTGCTATACAATCTCAAATTACATTCACCTTTTAAAATGTCTCATAAATATGTCTCTGCTTCAAGGGTCTGTATAAACACACCCAAACTTGTGTATACATACAGATTCCTTAAGTGGAGCATCTGCTTTTTAGTAATTCATTTTTGTGAGAGATTTAAAAGCAGAACAGTATTTGACTTCTTATAACAATTTTCACAATTAAGATCCCTGAAAGTGCTTTGCAAATGAATAGCCAACCAATATACTTACACTGTAGGTAAACACATGTGGTTTGAAGTGGAGCAGATAAATGCAGAAGTATTAGTTTCTTCTCTTAACACGTGAGTAGAAAAGTCACAGTTAAAGTAAGATAAATCAAAGACACTGTGGAATCAGCATTAATTTTGTCATGTTCTGTGTTTCTCTCCTGCCTCTTTTTGCTGACTGTTTAACTTACAGGTTTAAAACTATTAGCTGTCAGAAATGAATGGCAATGTGAAAATAAGATTAAAATGTGGCTGGTTTACTCTGCAGCATACTGAGAAAAGTATCAGTGTATTTTTTTACTTCAAATGACATATATTAGATCTTCCAGAAATATTTTTTGTTATGTATTTACACTAAAATTTAATTGGCCATGTTTCTTTTCTAGACTTTCACAAAATGATGGCATTTCTGCTGGAGTTGTTCAACAATGATTATGTTTGCTTTTTTATTTATATAGTTCAGCACATACACACACACACACACATATCACTGTCAGTATTATGAAAAATACTGAGGAAACAGTTTGGTGTTTCTAAAAGAAGCAAATAGAATTGCTTAATAGAAATACTTATAAATGATTATTTTTCAGAACCTCACAGCTGTGAATTAGACAACTAATCAAAAATGCAAGTTGACATCACAAAATGATTTCACACCACACTCACATTTATACTTGTAACTATGTTATGTGGTATTAAAGTATAAGCAATAGAGGCAAATCTTTTCTCAAATTTTGAATATTTTTATATAAAGATTGATAGAGATTGTTAGAATCAGAAGCAGAATTCATGACCAAAATTCAGGTTTTAAAGTATATATATCCAAACTTAAAACATATTCTGTTTCTTCATTGTAACAGCTTCAGGTAATTAGATTCAGAAAATAAGAACAGAGCTGCAAAGGTTGCATGCACTATTCTTATGATCTGTAAAAGTATAAAGATAAGCATAAGCAATATGTTCAAGAACAAAAGGTATGATGTCCCCTTGGACAGGCACTGTCATCTTCAGAATGATGTATGTGTCAAAATTCTTTTTAACATACATTCAAGAAAGCTCGTATTTATGATAGGTTATGCCTAACAAGAACAATATGTTCCAAATAATCTGAAGTTTTATATTTTAAGAGTCTATTAACTCATGAGAAACTATTAGCATTGAATTGGTTTTATAGTAGGCTGTAAAGTAAAAAAAGACCCACTCTTTACCAGTGAAGTGGCTGCACATCCTTCTGTGGTTGCACGTACAGCAGATACAAGTCCACGTACTCACCCCCTTGCCTGTGTGCTTCATTACATAAAGAGAGGGCAAGTTTTACCCTGACTTTATCCTCTCTGTCTTCCTGTAACACTGTGCACATCTGAATAGTTTATAAAGGTTGATATGTGACTAATAGGTCGTTTGAGCATGTTAAAGACAATTCACCTGAGCTCTGAGTGACTGTAAGAATGTTTGAAAATTTGATAATGATGCTTTGAACAGATACATGTAACTTACCCACTCTCTGATTCTGTGATAACTGATAATAATTAATTAAGCACAACTTCTTAAGCTTTTACAAAGCATTTATAACCACACCTTTAAGATAATGTTATAATAGTATCCAGACAAAATCAATAAAGACAGAAGCATCATGTGATTTTCATATTACACAGGTGTCAACAATTTCTGAAACATTCTTATATGGAAAAGTATTTAAAATAATTTCAATACTGAAAAAGATGTCAGACTAAAAATTTTTAAATCATCTCAATCACTGCTATTGAACTAATGGGATATTTAAGGTTGAAAGCAAGCAAAATAAGCATTTGCTTTCTGAATACTGATTAGTAGGCATCTTTTTCTTCAGAAGAACAAAACTCCAACTGATGGGTAGAAAATGAGAAATTGCATCTAGGAAGGCAACCATAGCATTTATATTTGCTGTTCTGTTATCTATTCTATATTGTACGTCACTGCAGCAGAAATAGTATTTCTTCTTCTCTATTCGGGAAAAAAAAATACAAAGTATCTAAAGCATTTCTACCTATCCTGAATAGAAAGGAAATTGTTGAGGATCATATTATCTCATTATCATATTATCTGTATGTGTTATACCATTCAGCACAGCAGGTAAACAAATACCATAGAACTGACATTAAGAGCAGTTGGGAGTGGAAGGGGGGAGAGAGAGAGAAGGAAAGAGGAAGCAAATTAATCCAAATAAAGTCAACTTGAGGAAAAACGTCATATATGTGATAGATGTGAGAAAGGTGAATAAAAACTTTTTAAAGAAGTCTTTTCAAATGAAAGCCTTTTCCTTCTTGCTTCCCCCAAAAAAGGATCTGTTTTCCCTACCATTTCTAACAGGGACCCCAGCCTGAGCAAACAGCAACATCAGGTAATGAATTTGATCACACAAGATGGAAACCTTTGGTCTGTGTGCTGGTATGTTCTGGAGCACTCAAATCAGTTTGGCAATTAACTGCTTCTGACTTCTGCAATGTAACCATCTGGCTTTCAGATCTGGGGAAATATTCTGCAAGAAGCCTTGAAACCTCTTAAAAACACGCTGTGATCAATGAAAGATTTAATGATATGTTCAAGAGTATCCAAATAAAGATTTCTGAATTTCTTAAAAGCGTAGTTTCATGGAAACATTTTAATCCCAATTTATTTTGTATTTGAAATGCAGTCACATACACAGCAAAAGGTACATTACCATAAGACCTACTTATTATTCCTGAATTGTTAAGCTTTTTGTGATTTATATTTGAACTTCAAAATAGAGAAAAAATTACCAGTAACCTCAACTGCTCATTGATGTTATTCACCAATAAAATAGTACGCCTTCCTGTTTAGCTTTATACAGATAGTTGCAGATACAGAAAAAAAAAAAAAAAAATCAGTTAGCCATCACTCGGTGCACACAGAAATTAACACAAAGTCCATCACCACCACAGTGCATTTTAAGAGGAATATTTAAAATGCAAGAAATCTGTATCCTTCCTAATCTAGACTAAATAGTTAGAATTTAAATACCAAACCCACAAAGGCATTCACATTAAAAAATTATGTGAAATATTTATCAAGAGAAGTACCTTCACATATTTCTGTTAGAGGCACACTTGCAGCATGATTTTATAATTCAGGGCTAAACTCACCATTAAAACGTTTGTTATAAAGATTACGTATGTTCTACTGCTCATCACATGATGAGCAGTAGAATTCTACTAATTTGTATAAGATCTAATTTGAAACATTACAATAATAAATCACGGCTTGCATTTGAAAATCTTGCATGTCAGGGCTAAATTTTATTTCTCACCATTAAATTATTTCTGCAGTGCCCTTTTTTGTTTTTCTTTTTAGAAGGAGGCTGCTCAGGTACTTTCATAGTTGCTTCAAGTCCAATTCACTTCTTTCTTTTAATTGAACCCTACCACTTTAAAAGCCAATGCTGCAGATATTCGCTATTCGCCCCCCCCCCTCCCCCGCCCCAAAATATTCCTGCCTCCCCTCATATATATAAGACTGTTTAGGAAATAAATAAAGAAATATGACAAATGCATTTTCAGCCCCACAAGTTTCAGCCCATCGCTGCTTTATTTTCTCTTTCAACTGGAACAGGTGCCCGATTTGGCAGGATGTAGTGGCACTGATCTCCCTACCCCCAGCTCAGCAGCTGCATCCGTACCTGTGTATTTCAGAGCTGCTGCCCGACCTGGCAGAGTGCTGGACGCCTGCACAGCGGGGAGGGAGCGGTGCAGCTTCTTCCTCTCCCTTCGCTGCCCCCTCTTCCTTTAGGCACTGCGGACTTACACACTTTGTTTCGAACTTACTGAAGTTCTGCGATTCCAAACCGGGATGAGCAGGAAGTAAGAGGCTGCTGATCTACACGGCCAGGTTTTTCGCTTGTTCCCCGCGGCTCCTCCGTGGAGCCAGCATCCTGTCGTGCAATGCTTCAGGGCCCCACACCACAGCCCCAGCCACCGCCATGCAATCCCAATTCCTCCTCCTTCCCCTCCCCAGAAAAAGCAGCCTTACCTGCTACACGAAGCTGCAGCAGCCTCAGCGAGATCAGCAGCAGCAGCAGCAGTATGCACAGCAGCAATACCTCTTTCTCTGAATCACTGTAGCAACAAACTGCCCTTTCTCGTGTTCCCCTTCATTCACAAAGGATCTCGCAGGCAGGAAAGACAGGTAGAAACCGCTTTCTTACTGGAAGAGGTTGGCTCCCTTCTGAGAAACGACTGAATCCCTCTCTGTGCTTCCCTACACATTAACTCTTCAGATCAATACTGCTCCTCAGCAGCAGCTTCAGCTGAACTGCAGCTGATAGAGACTAGCCAATTGGTATTGAGGATTCCCTTTTTGTAACCCCCTCCCACAAACATATACAGTGTGCATTTGAAATTTTGTTAGTTGTGAAAAGTAGTTTTAACCCCTTGCTTAAAACCCACCCTATGCATTTGGAGCTCCAGATAAGCTCTCATTTTCTTTTTGCACTGAGAAAAACTCTGACCAAAATATCCCCACCTGGGTTTTTTAAAGCTGGGTAACGTTCAGCAAGAAAACTAAAATATCTCAAACTGCTATCAGCTGACTGGGAAGATGATGTGTTTGCAATCTAGTAGATACAGCATATGACAAAACCAAATAAACAAAAAAACCCAGAGCAACTACACTGCAACCTATCATGCAAATATAATTCTTCCCCCCCCCCCAAGCCTTCTTGTATTTCTCAGCACAAAACGTGTCTGTACTACAATCAAACAAGAAAAAAGAACTTAAATAGTGACATACACAGGCTCACACAGCCACAATAACATGCCTAGAGAAGAGAGATTTTTCTTTGTGCCAGTGCTGAAAATGACTTAATGGATAAGGCTTTTTAATTTTATCAAGGCTGTTGAATGTTGTGCATCTGAAGAAATAACTTTACTGTTAAACCCTCACGATTATATATACCATCTTCTTGTTTGTTGGTTGTTTTTTTTTTATTTGCAGGAAAGAACTGCTGTAAAATAGGTTAGGTCTGAGAGCCTGTTTTTCTAACTTTAAAGCAACATTAAACATTAATTTAAAACATTTAAAAAGGGCTTACATCAAATTTTGATCAAGCTGAATAAAATATACAAATACAGAGGTAAGTCAGCCATGTAACCTTAATGCTGCCCCCTCGACATGGATAATGCAATCTTCGAAGCATTTAAATATCCTAAAGTTTGTACTTGCAAATTAGATAGTCTGCGTAGTAAAACACTTAGTTTTTCTCAATATAGCTGATAAGAGTGCAATGCTATATATAAGGTAATACTCAGTTGACAAAGTTGGCAAATGAATTACAGATACATGTGTAGTTTGTAGAGTGTCAGCCAGCAACTTCATTAATTTTAGTCAAATAAGGAAACAGGGCTAACTACACTGAAACAAAGCAGCTATCACACAGTAGATGAGGCCTTCACCTCGGTCCATTCATCTTCACATGGCCAAAGCTGAAAATAAGTACCTCCTTCTTCATTACAAAGACAGTTCAGAAAGGTATAGCTTCTGGCTCATGGGCTATTTGCAGCCTGTTGGGATAATTCATATGACCTGTAAGCTTAGTTTCAGCAGGTCTCTTTTCCGAAAGTAACTTGTGGAAGAAGGTACTATGTACTGAGCTGTTCCGGTAGTGGCTGCAAAACCCTTTTAAAACAGCTGTAAAACCGTTCCCTCTCTGATTCTCAATGTGATGCCAGTTCTGAGCATGGTACCTCCAACAGAAAAATCTGCCTGGTCCTAATTTTATCACTGAATAAGCCTGGGAGAGTGTCTATCAGTCTGCCCATGTGTGCTTCTCAGATCAAGACAGAGCACATGATGCAGAAAGTAGTAAGTATGGAGGATGCATGCTGTAAGACATAAAGAGCATGCAGAATACCTAAAGCATATCAACATCGTAAAGTCCAGAAGAACAAAACACATTACCAAATTGATTATTCTACACAGACATACACACAACCGACTACACTGTGAAAAAAGCCTTATATTGCTGTCTAGTTGCAGGAGATAGGTAGGTTTTCCAGTATGCCAGAAAATCAAAGAATGACAGATGTTAAGGCTAAACTATAACAAGCTAAGATTCTCTATCTTTGCCCATACTAAACACTGTGACAACTGGACACAAACTCTATGTAGCTCTGATACTGACTTTACATTTAACTATAACCACATTTCTGGGATGACGTGAAAAGAGGGTGGGTGTTTCCTCTTTCAGAGATCTTGGAATCTACCATATAGCTAAAGAAGCCTGACAAAACCAAAACCTCCTCACAGCGAGCATCAACACCATCAAGAAGAAATACTCTAATAGCAGTGGTTAGGGGAATGATCTCCAAAGTTGGCCAGCCCTCTCAGTCCAGCCACAATCTTGTTCAATAGTTTTTTCTTATCTTTTACAAACACATATACTAAATTAAAGAAGACAATGCATGGTAGACACTAATACATGAGCTTTTTATCAAAGTCCTGCTTCATCAACAGGGCAGTTACTACCTTGTACATGAAAAAGCTGATAGTTAGCCAGAAAGAAACAAACAACAAAACTCATGGCTGAGAGCTGTTTATACAGATTACCAAAGGCATTTGGTTGTCCTCTCACAGTGTTCTTTAAAAAGGTAACTAATGGAGTCTTATCGTTGGCATGGAGAAAGCCAGGCATGTCGTGACAGATTCAAGTAACTCTTAGGGACTTAATAAATTGACCAATTTATTTTCCTGTCCATCATGTGAATAAGCCATGAAAGTTTCCTCAAATCCCCATACTTTAGAAGTGTAGTGACTGAAGAAGAGTTTATGATATTCTATACTTCCAAGTAGATCATCACCAAGCATAATTTTCATTGTAGCTAATCCTATTAATTGGTGATAAGGAAAACTTTATTTCATTTTCTTTTATGGTAACACAGAGGTGGCCTTAAAATGTTCATTCTTTCTAGATATTTCCTTAAAGTGGAAAATATCAATAAAGCTCATAAAACTATCTGAAAAAACACTGAAACTTTTAAAAGCTTGCTTTAAATTATCTTATTTTTTAGCTTTACAGTTTAATTCAAAGTTTGCCAATTGAAAGTTCAAAAGAAATCCTAAAAGTGGATCAATATCATTTACATAGAAACATACAAGTCTTTGCAAAGCCACAAAGTTAAATTGCTAATTTTATGCTCCAAATTTTCTCTACTTAGCTGTCATAAAAAGTATATGTGTGTTTTAGAATTCCATTTGATTAAAAAACATAAAAAACCCACCAGCATTGAAGAGTGAACAGTTCATTTCTTAGCTTCACTCTAAGGTGGAGATGGGGCTACTTTACTTAGGAAAGAACACTCATTAAACTTGAAAATGGTCCACAATAGAACTGAGGAAAATGCATCCAGAGGAACAGGATCTCCTCCTTTTTGAAAACATCCGTGCATGCCGGCAGAAGTAATCATGAAGTAGAAGTAATCAATATCTGCCCCTGTAAATTGTTTAAATATTGGTCTGGTTAACTCAAGCCTCTTGCTTTCTTTTGCTAAACAGTCTTCCTAGGATCCTATGAAGACCTGTATTAAGAAGATGCAATATGGACAAATACCCATTACGGGGTCTAAAAGAAATGCTTCCCACTCTAGACAAAATACAGTCCGAGGCTTTTAGCCTTACAGATTAATGGAAGCATTGTGAATAACTGAGTTTATTTATGCAGATACTTATTCACCTGACTTGTAGGTGACAGAAATTAAGGTTTTGCAATTTCTATGGAGAATCCACTCATCTACAGTGTCAAACTAGGCCCAAGCAGGCAAAAAAGATCTCAGATTTCACTGGTGAGCCTTCCAAATCAATAAATATTTACATATATAAGATCATGCAAACAGTCTTTGCCTGAGGTTTTCCTTTCGTTGGGGCAACCTTATTTTAGACAAGATTAGAAGAGAACTTAGTTTTATTGGTATACTTACTATCAACCTTCATGAAATGTAATTTCTGAAACTTCTGCAATTAGACCTACTTAAGTTTAAATCAGTACATTACATTAATAAAGTGCTAACCTACCTCTCAAGTGTTAACCTATCTTGTTTATCAGTCACTCATGAATCGTCAGACTTCTGCTTTTACTGGAGTTACTATTGCACATTGTTATGGTGACACCTAGAGAAACCAACCAGAGATCCAGCATTATTGTAGGTAAGGTCGCAGGCAAAGTCAGAGAGAGAGGTGTCACTTCCAGCTGATGTCCAATCTGTGCCTAGAAACCTCCAGGGACAGAGAATTCATAGTCTCAGCCAATGTCCTCAAAATTTTAGCTAGGTTTACAAGTAAAAAATTTTGCAGGTGATTAACTTAAAACTGTCTGGTTGAATTCTAAGTCCTCTGGGCTTTGCTTTACATATACTGCGGGTTTAGTATAATGTGGATTATTCTCTTCCTTTTTGCTATGATATTTCATATCATGCAGGTATGAAATATAAATATATAATCTCTAACAATCCCCAGCCTTCCAGTTCTCTTCACAAGACTTTTTGCTTGATAGATTCTGATCATTCTTTTTGCTCCGCTCTTTTCTCTATCTAACGTATTTCCTGTTTACTAAGACTAAATGCCTAATACTGCATAAAACACGGCTGCTCTGTTCAGTGCTGGTGAGGAGCATCCTGAGGATTATTAGGTATATAATGCCTTCAAGCTTGAGCATTGCCTTTATGCAGGGCCAGTTCTATTCTTTTATCTGTCATGCTGTTATTCTAATAATCAGTCTCTTCTCCAAATAACCTGCATTTTAAATAAAAAATGAGGCTAAATTCTGGATGCAATCAGTGAGGCAGCACACTACGAATGTAATGGTCCAGGCATGACTGTTTATTAGTCATTGGTGTCACAGGAAATGAGAGACAAAACAGGATGCAATAGTGTTTGCAGAAGGTATTTTGAACTTCTCATAATTCTTATTATATCCTTCCTCAAAGCTTTCAGCTTGCCATTGTCATTGTCATTAACTTTGTCTGTGCCAAGCTGCTTACTTTCCACAACGTCTGAAAGTCCATAAACTAGAAAAACACACCAGAAGGCTGTGCTGCCATTCAGCGAGACCTGGATAAGCTGGAGAGTTGGGCGGGGAGGAACTTCATGAAATTCAACAAGGGCAAGTGTAGAGTCTTGCATCTGGGGAAGAACAACCCCATGTACCAGTACAGGTTGGGGGTTGACCTGCTGGAAAGTAGTGAAGGGGAAAGGGACCTGGGGGTCCTGGTGGATAGGAGGATGACCATGAGCCAGCAATGTGCCTTTGTGGCCAAGGCCAATGGCATCCTAAGTTGTATTAGAAAGGGTGTGGTTAGTAGGTCAAGAGAGGTTCTCCTCCCCCTCTATTCTGCCTTGGTGAGGCCGCATCTGGAATGTTGTGTCCAGTTCTGGGCCCCTCAGTTCAAGAAGGACAGGGAATTGCTTGAAAGAGTCCAGCACAGAGCCACAAAGATGATTAAGGGAGTGGAACATCTCGCTT